TGTGCAAAAATAAGAATAAAATCAGAAAAAAATAAAGTTTAAAAACAAAAGTTTGGAAAAGTAATAAAGAGATGGCTCCAGCCCTTAACCGGCAAGACTCAGCAATCCCCGAAGAGCAGTAAAATTCAATTTCTAGAGTTACCACAACTCAAAATGTCCAGTACTCAAAAAAAAAATTACAAATTAGGCAAAGAAGCAGGAACTGTGTCGCATTCATGGTAAATAAAGAATGTGACAGAAGCCATTTCTAAGCCTGCACATTGGAATTATTAGTCAAAGATGTTAAATCAAGATTTGTCTTAAATATGTTCAGTGAGCTAAAGGAAACTATAGACAAAGAACTAAAGGAAATCAGGAAAATAGTATATGAACAAAATGAGAATATGAATAAAGAGACAGAAGTTGTAAAAAAGGAACCAAAACTTGAAAGCAACAAAATGTGCTTCAGGCCGGGCGGCTCTGCCTGCAATCCCTGCACTTGCGGAGGCTGAGACAGGAGCATGTCTTGAGCCCAGGACTTTGGGGCTGCAGTGAGCTGTGATCATGCCACTGCACTCCAGACTGGGTGACAGAGTGAGACACTGTCTCAGGAATAAAAAAAAGAAAAAGCTTAAAAAAATAAAAATAAATTTAAAAATTTTTAACAATTAAAAATATTTTTTAAAAACCCAAAATATCTTTCAGTAGGTGAATGTATAAATAAATTGTGGTACATACAGACAAAAGAATATCATTTGATGTTAAAAAAAATGAGCTATCAAGCCATGAGAAGATATGGAATGACCTGAAATACATATTACTAAGTGAGATAAACAAAGCTATAAAGTCTGCTGTATGATTCCAACTCTATGATGACATTCTGGAAAAGTCAAAACTAGGGAAATAATAAAAAGATCAGTGGTGACCAGGGGTTATGGGAAGGGAGAGATGAACAGACAGAGCACAGAGGATTTTTACATAAGGGAAACCAGTCTGTAAGGTACATTCGTGGACACATATCAATATGCATTTGTTCCAACCCACAGCACAACAGCACCAAGAGTCAACGCTAGCACAAACTGCGCTGAGTGGTAACGGTGTATCAGTGCAGGTTCATTAATTGTAACAACTGTACCCTCTGGTGGGGGTGCTGACAGTGGGAGCAGCTGTCTGTGGGTGGAGGGAGGGCAGGGCTATCTGGGAACTCTGTGTTTTTGTTCAATTTTTCTGTGAACCTAAACTGCTCTAAAAATGGCCTGTTTTTTCTTAAAGGAACCAAACATTCTGGAACTGAAATATCCAATAACTGGAATGAAAAATTCACTGAAGGAATCTATCAACAAATTTGAGTAGGAAAATAAAGGATCGGTGAATTTAAAAAATAATTAAAATAATTGTGGGGCAAAAATTTTAAAAGATTGAGGAAAATTGAATAGAGCCTGAGGGACCTGCAGGACCCCACCAAATGTACCAATATGTACTTATAGGAGTTCTAGAAGGAGAAGAACAAAAAGGACAGAAAAAAATATTTGAAGAAATAATTTCCAGAATTTCCCAAATCTAAGGAAACATGCCAATATACACATTCAAAAAGCTCAACAAACTCCAAGCAGGAAAAACTCAAAGAATCCACACCAAGACATATTCCCATAAAACTGTGGAAACACAAGAATAAAGAGAGAACTGCAAAAGCAGCAAGAGAGTAATAACTTGTCATATACAAGGGTCCCTCAGTAAGACTCACAGCTGATTTTGCCTCAGAAACCACAGGGCCCAAAATGTAGTAGGATGATATACTTAAAGTCCTAATAGAAAACAAACAAACAAACGGGAATTGTACACTCTGTAAAACTATCTTTTAATAGTGAAGGACAAACTAAGGCATTTCCAGATAAAGTCTGAGGAGTGCATCAGCAGTAGATCTGCCCTACGAGAGAGGCTAAAGGGGATCTTTCAGACTGAGATGAAAGTGCACTAGACAGCACCTTAAAGCCATCAGAAAAAATTAAAAACACTGGTAAAGGTAAGTATTTTAGAAAATATAAAAGCCAGAATTATCATATTTTTGGTATGGTCTGTAACTCCTATTTTTTCCTATATGATTTAATAGGCAATGCATAAAACAATGATTATAAACCTACGTTAATGGTCATACAACGCACAAAGATGTAAAATGCAACAATAACGATATAAAGGGAAGGGACAGAGATGTATAGGAGCAGAGTTTTTCTATCCTATTGAAATTAAGTTGGTATTATTCAAAATAAAGTGTTATAAATTTAAGATGTTAATTGTAATCCCCAAGATAACCAAAACTGACACAAGCAGAAATAGAAAATTTATAACTAGTAAGATGATTGAATAAGTAATCAGCAACCTTCCAACAAAAAGCCCAGGACCAGATGGCTTCACTGGTGATTTCTACCAAAACATTTAAAGGAGAATTAACACTAATCCTTCTCAAAACTTTTGCAAAAGCCAAAAATAGGGGACACTTCCTAACTCAGTATAGGAGGTCAGCATTACACTGATACCAAAGCCCAATAAAGACATCACAAGAAATGAAAATTACAGACCAATATGCCTGATGAATATAGATGCAAAAATCCTCAACAAAATATTAGCAAATTGAATCCAATATCATATTAAAAGGATTATTTACTATAACAAAGTGGGATTTATTCCTGGAGTGCAATGATGATTCAATATAGAAAAGTCAATCAATATAATGTGCCACATTAAAGGAATAAATAATGGTGGTACATGCCTGTTGTCTCAGCTACTTGGGAGGCTGAGGTGGGAGAATTGCTTGAGTCCAGGAGTTTGAGACCAGCTGGGTGACATAGTGAGACCCCATCTCAGAAAAAAAAAAAAAAAGGAGAATGAAGGAAAAAAGTACATTCTCATTTCAATTGACGCAGAAAAAGCATATATACAATCCAACAGTTTTTCATAATAAAAATACTCAATAAAGCAGGAAAAGAAAGTAACTTCTTCAACATGATAAAGGCCATATTTGAAAATCCCATAGCTAACAACATGCTCAAGAGTAGAAGATTGAAAGCTTTCCCCTAAGAACAGGAACAAGATGAGGATACATACTCTCACTGTTTCTATTCAACACAGCACTGGAAGTACTAGCCAGCGCACTTAGGCAAGAAAAATAAAAAGAAATAAGGGTATCCAAATTGGAAAGGAGGACATACGATTATCTATTCACAGAAAACACAATCTTATATGTAGAAAACCCTAAAAATTCTATTTGATTGGGAAAGGACAGTGTTTTAAACAAACAGTGTTGGGAAAACTGGATATCCAGATATGAAGAATGAAGATGAACTCTTACCTAACACCTACACAAAAATTAACCCCAAATAGATTTTAGCCCAAAGTAAGGGCTAAAACTATAAACTTTTAGAAAAAAACATAGCAGAAAATCTTCATATGCTGAATTTGGCAATGACACTTTGGCTATAGCACCAAAGGCATAGGAAACACAAGAAAAATTAGATAAATTGGACTTCAGCAAAATGAAAAATTTTTGTACATCAAAGGATACTACTGAGTAAAAAGACAACCCACAGAATGGGAATAAATATTTGCAAATCATATATCTAACAAGGGATTGATATTCAGAATATGCAAAGAGTGCCTAAACTCAACAACAAAAACCAACTCAAGTCAAAACTGGCCAAAAGATTTGAATCAACATTTCTCCAAATAAGATAAATAAACAGTCCACAAGCATGTGAAAAGATGCTCAACATCATCAGTCATTAGGGACATGAAAATTTAAACCACAATAAGATATAATTTCATACCCATTAGGGTGGCTATTATCAAAAAATTAGAAAATAACAAGTGTTAGAGATATGGAGAAATTGGAACTCTTATGCATAACTCATGGGAATGCATAACAATGTAGTCACTATGGAAAAGTCTAGTGGTTACTCAAAAACCTGAATATAAAATGACTATATAACCCAGTAATTCACTCTGAGGTATATGTCCAGAAGAACTGAAAGCAGGCATTCAAACAGATACTTGTGCACCAGCACTCAGAACAGCATTACTCACAACAGGCAAAAGGTGGAAACAACCCAATTATTCATCAACATATGAATGGATAAACAAAATGTATTATATGTACACAATGGAATATAATTCAGTTATTAAAATGAACACAGAACTGATATATGCCACAACATGGATGAACTTTGAAGACATTATACTAAGTGAAATAAGCTAATCACACAGGGAAAAATACTGAATGATTCCACTTACACAAGATGACTAGCACGAGACAAAGCAGCAGCAGACGCTGTGGCCACTCCTGCTTGCCAGCATCCTCCCACAAAGCCCCTCAGCGGCAACGTGCAGGATGAATATCTTAGCCCTCCCTCAAGCAAACACCGATTACAAACTTGGGCTGGAGCTGCGAGCTGGGCTGTCATGGGGCAGGGGTGGGAAGGAGACAGTCCTAGCGTGAAGAAAGGGGGTGTGTGGAAACTGGGTGACAGGCATGAGAGCAGATGCTCACCCCACAAGTTTGCTTTTGTTAATCACAAAGAAGGAGAGGAGGAGAGAGCTTTTCATTTCTTTTTTGAGACAGAGTCTCACTTTGTTGCCCAGGCTAGAGTGAGTGCCGTGGGGTCAGCCTGGCTCACAGCAACTTCAATCTCCTGGGCTCAGCGATCCTACTGCCTCAGCCTCCCGAGTAGCTGGGACTACAGGCATGCGCCACCATGCCCGGCTAATTTTTTGTATATGTATTTTTAGTTGGTCAATTAATTTCTTTCTATTTTTGGTAGAGACGGGGTCTCGCTCAGGCTGGTTTTGAACTCCTGACCTTGAGCGATCCGCCCACCTCGGCCTCCCAAAGTGCTAGGATTACAGGCGTGAGCCACCGCGCCCGGCCTTCATTTCTGTTAGCTGTACATGATCTCTCGCCAGGCCACTCTGAACTGCTGAAAGCAGCTCTAAGATCTAGCTCTGCCGCCTGCTCCCCACCCAGAACCCACCCGCAGAGATACTCAGGGCTGAGAGCCCCATTCCATGCCGGATCTGAAGTCAGAAGAACTTCACCAGAGAGGATGAGTCAAGTGGCTTTCTCAGGTTTTTTTGTGTGAAATGGGGGCGGCCGTATCTACCCGTTGTAATTTTTGCCACCTGTCAGCTCATTTTGAAAACTGATTTGCCACAGTTCAGCAACACAGTGTGTGTGGGAGCGAAGTGTCGTGGTGGGGAGAGCACGCTGACTCACCCCGGGAGGCCTGGGTGGTGCTAACCTTGGCTTCCCTGAGCTGTGAAGCGGGGATGCTAGGCTTTCTTTTGTAGAGCTCCTTACAGGCATGCACATGACAAGATACAGCTGGCCTGAGACACAGCTGTTGCTATTGGGCATTATTATTCTGATATAAATGGTATGAAGTATAATGGGTTAGTGATCATTTCATAATAAAATAATCATAATATCAATGATAATTATTAATAATGCCAGTAGCATCAAGTGAGTGTTCCAGGCCTGGGAACTGCTCTCCCAGAACCTGAATTTGTGGCACCCATACCAGGTATTATTTCTTGTTGGTAACTTGACATTGTGGGGCACACCATTCTGCCTCCTTCCACTGTCTCCTTCATCTCCGAATCCAGCGCCTTCAGTAATACCAGACACACAGCAGGTGCTGGAAAATGCTCATAAATGACTGGATTCCTTACATATAGTTGTCCTCAGTAAAGACTTGTGAAATGAAAAGCAAGCGCATTCTCATCATGTATTGTATTTTATGTTAACAGAGAGCTGGGGAGAGTAATCTTTGAGTTTTATCAGCAGCCCCGGGGCCCTGCCTGCATTTCCTCCAGGGAGGACGGGAGGTGTCCTGTGGGAGGGGAGAAGCACATGTCCCGGCTTCTGCTTTCAAAACTTGGGAGAAAGGATTCTTGGCAATAGAATGACTGGGCCGGAAACAAGCATGGAAAATAATATCCCTCAGATCAAACAAAAAAAAACAACCCAAATATTTAAATGTGAAAATAATAAACATATAAAAACTTATAGAGAAGAAACTATCTGATAATTGCTTTACAACCTTGGAGTACGAAAGGCCTTTCTAATTATGACCCCAAATCAAAAATCCATAAAAGACTGATGAAATAGAATGCACAAAACAAACCAAGGAAACAAAAAATCTTCTTGGCAATAAACACCTTAAGGAAAGTCCAAAGACATATGAAAAATGAGAACAAATCATTTATATCTCATATCTAAAAGGTAAACAAAGAAAGACCAGCTACCCAACAGAAAAATCAGCAAATGTCAAGAGCAGACAGTTCACAGATAGGGAGACATGATGTAAAGACGCTTGTCTTGTTCGCAAAGATAGGCAAATTCAAACTACACTGATACACTCTTCCCCCTCATAGACTGTTCAAAATCCAAACGTTTAATAATCCCTTCTATTGGCAAAGCCATGAAGAAAATGGCATTCTTGTTCATTATGGAAGGACAACAAACAAGGATGACCTCATGGAAGGCAATTTGGCAACATTTGTCAAAACTACTGATGTATTTACCCGTTGACCCAGAGATCAAACTCCACAATTTATCATGCAGTGTGAAATGGTAAATTAATTGCAACAATGTTCACAATAGCAGAAGAAGGAAAATACCCCAAATGTCCATCAGTAGGGGACTGACTGGGTAAATTACAATACACTTATACACTAGACTATTACACAGCTATATATATATAAAAAAAAAAAGAATGAGGAAGCTCTTTATATATTGTTGTGGAAAGAATTCCATGATATAGTAAATGAAAAAAGCAAAAATAAAACAAGATACATAACATTATGGCTCATAGGTTGTCCCCACACACACACCAAAAGGGGAAAAGTTCTAATCCATATTTGCAAGTGTTGGTATATGATGCATAAAGAAATTCTGTAAAAAACTAAAACTGTTTTCAATAAAATGTTCAGGAAGAAATTTAATGAAAGAGATGTAAGACTTATACATTAAAAACTACAAAACATTGCTGAAAGAAATTAAAGAAGATTTAAATAAATAGAAAGACATCCCATATTCATGGATTAAAAGACTTAATATTGCTGAGATGGCAATACTCCCCAAATTGTTCCACAGATTCATTGCAATCCCAATCAAACTCCCAGCTGGCGTTCCTGCAGAATTTCACAAGCTGATCCTAAAATTCACATGGAAATGCAAGAAACCCAGAAAAGCCAAAATAATCTTGAAAAAGTAAAACATAGTTGGAGGACTCACACTTCCCAACTTCAAAACTTACTACAAAGCAACAGTAATCACAATAGTGTGGGACTGGCCTAAAGATAGACATAAATCAAAGAATAGAATTCAGAGTCCAGAAATAAAGCCTCCATTTATGATCAATTGATTTTCAACAAGTGTACCAAGACAATTCAAGGGGAGAAAACAGTAGTCTTTTCAACAAATGGTGCTCGTTCCACTGGATATCCACATACAAAAGAATGAATTTGGACTCCTATCTCACACCATACACAAAAAATTAACTGAAAATGGATCACAGACCTAAATGTCAAAAAGATACATGAATGACACATGAAAAGATGCTCAACATCATTTGTCATTAGGGAAATGCAAACCCAAACCCTACTGAGATACCACTGCACACCCACTAGGATAGCTATCATGAGAAAGATGGACGATGGCAAGTGTTGGAGAGCTGGAACCCTTATGCATTAAATGGGATCATGAGATGGCGCAGCCACTTTGGAAAACAGTTTGGCAGTTGCTTAAAATATTAAAGATGGAATTACCATATGACTCAGCAATTCCATTCCTAGGTATCTATCTATCCAAGAGAAAAGAAAACAGGTCCACTCAAAACGTGTACACAAAAGAAGCCTTATAATAATAGCCAAAAGGGAGTAGTAACCCAAGTGTCTATCAACTGATGAATGGATAAACCAAATGTGATATATCCATAAAAATGGAATATCATTTGGCTATAAAAATAAAGTACACACACATGGTACAACATGGATGACCCTTGAAAACATTATGCTAAGTGGAAGAAGCTAGGACATATGGTAGGATTCCATGTATATAAAGTGTCCCACCTAGGCAAATCCACAGAGACAGAGAGTAGATCAGTGGTAGCCTGGGGCTGGGGCTGAGGAGGAGTGAAGACTGATAAGGTTTCTTTCTGAGATGATCAAAATGTTCTCAAATTAGATTATGGTGATGGTTGCACAACGCTGTAACTATGCTAAAACCACTGCATTGTACACTTTAAATGGGTGAATTTATGGCATGCAAATTATACCACGATCAAGCTGCTTGTTCTCAGGGAGTCAGGCACTGGGCACAGGCAGACCGGAGGGAAGGAAGGCTCTCTATTATGCATCTTCCTATACTTTCTGGGTTTTAAACCACATGGTTATACAGTCTCTTCAAAAGCAAATTTAAAAACAAAGGATCAAACAAAATTAAAAAGAGACCCCCAATTCTCCCCTCCTTTGGGTGGGGGAGAGGAGAGGAAGGGAGCTACTACCCGCCCCACTGCACTGTGTGTCCCTTGTTTTATGGGACAAGGGCAGGCTTGGAGAGGTTCTAAGACCCCATTCATCACCTGGAAGCTGCCAAAGCCACTGGACCTGCTGGGAGATGGTACCCAGCTGACCAGATGGCAGACACCAGAGGGTGCAGTCTCTGCCCCCTCCTCTCCCACCATCTGGGCCCACTTAAAATCCCAAAACCCCACGACTGACCCCAGGCAGCAGAACAGAAGCTTGAGAAAGCAGCTCCACTGATGGACAGGGAAGAAAGGCAGAATCTCCCCGCAAGCTGGGTCTGCAGGCTGGGCTCACACCCGCAGCCTGCAGGGCTCAGATGAAGGATGGCAGCCTCTGCCCTGCACCCTGAGAGCAGAGAGCAGCCGAGGGGGATGATTCTTAGAGCCTGGGCTTCCTCACATGCTTGGCGGGCTAACAAGTGCTGCATCAAGAAAGGCCTCTGTGGTCAAATTGGTATGAAAATGCTGGTTAAAGAAAGGCAAAGTGTTTTTCTTTAGTTGCGGGCCTTCACAGAGCCTTTGTTTGGGACTCTTCAAGACGGGGCCTGGCAGGTTCAAAGCACTTTTGTGTTTTTGAGGGACATTTGGCGGGACAGATGGTGTTCTTCATTTTGCAGTTGAGGAGAAGGGGCTTGTCCAAGGTCACAGAGTGGGTGTGCGAACAGTGGGAGCTGGAACTCCTGAGCCCCGGCCAGGGCTGGCGCTGCAGCACCGGGCTCAAAGTCCCGGCTGGTTCCCGACTCAGGGGCCCAGGGCTCTGGCCAGTTTCATCCTGTGTCAAGGTGGCCTCTGGTCACTGCCTTGTCCGACTCCCTCAGCACTTTGTGCATCGGCCCCTGCCTGGGTGCGAGCCTGGGACGCGGCCGCCGCGCACGAGGACGGAGGCGAGCTCCGCGCCTCGCTCCGTGCGCACGGGGAGGGAGCCGAGCCTCTCACACAGCCCTGGGGACCCGCCCTGACAAGCATCCCTGATAAGCATTTGTTTCCTCCACAAATGATCAGCAAGGAAAAAGAATCAAGAGGCGGACGGCGCGGTTCTAGACTCACACACCCCGAACCGCCGGGAAAGACATGGGCGCGCCGGCCGACGCGGGGACTGCGGGTGCTCGGGGTGGCTCCTCTCGACCCGCAACCGTAGACGGTTCGCTTTGGGTTTCTGTTTTAAGCCATAGATCCCAAGGCGTTCACAGATCAAACAGGGGAATGTTTGGGATCAGCCCTAAAACGATGCGACAGGGGCAGGGTGGCGCGGTCACAGGCCGGCCCTGCCCGCGTGGCAACCTGGCCCGGGCGCCTGTCTGGAAGGCCAGACGTGCCCGCCCCGTCAGCCTCACGCCGCGCTCACCCGCACTCACCTGCGCCCCCCCACCCACACTCACCTGAGCCCCCCCACACTCACCTGAGCCCCCCACCCACACTCACCTGCGCCCCCCCACCCACACTTCACCTGAGCCCACCCCCTCAACCTGCGCCCCCCTCACCCACCTCACCTGAGCCTTCACCACTCACCTGAGCCCCCTCCACCCACTCACCTGAGCCCCTCACCCACTCACCCTGCCCCCCCACCCAACCACTCACCTGAGCCCCAACTACCTGCGCCCTCACCACACTCACCTGAGCCCCATACCACACTCACCTGGCCCCCTCCACCCAGCCTCACCTGCGCCTCACCCCACACTCACCAGACCACCCACACTCACCTCGCGCCCTCCCACACTCACCTGCGCCCCCCTCACCCACACCCTGCCCCCACTCACCGCCGTCCGCTCACTCCACCCTGCCGCCGACGCCTCCACCCGTGTCTGTCCCTCCGCACCCCGCCTCCGCCCGCCCCGCTGCGCCCCCCGCGCCCGCTACTCACGTGCCCCCCGCGCCCCCCGCGGCCCCCGCGCCCGCTACTCACGCGGCTCCTGCCGGCGGCTCCGCAGGGCGTCTGCTGCCGGCACTCAGGACGGCTATTATTAGCCCCGATTTGGTTAGAGCTGGGCGCGCTTCCTGGGTTTTCCCCTCGCCCCGCGGGCTGCGCCCCGCCGCGCCCGCCCGCTCGGCCCAGGCGGGTGGCCGTGCCGGATCGGGGTCCGCGACCGCCCTCCTGCGCAGAGCGCGGCCAGGCCTGGCCTCGCGCCAGGCGTCAGCTGTGGGCCAGGCCCTGTGGGCTCCGGCCTGGCCGCCCCTGGGCCCGCTCTCCTGCGCGCCCCTCACACCCGCCAGGCCGCTGGGAGCTAGCTCCCCGCCTCCCAGCCTCGCTCGGGCCTTCCCTCTACCTGGACACCGTGCCCTGTTTCACTGCGTGGTCAGCGCCTCCTGCTCCTTCCTCAAGGCTCAGCTGAGGTGTCCCCTCCTCCAGGAAGCCGTCCCTGACTGCCCCATCCCAAATCAGACGCCCGTTCTCTGTGCTTCCTCAGCCTTGTCCTACAGCCGTCCACGCACGGAGCCCAGAGCCCGCAGCCTGGCTCTGAGCCTGGGCTCTGCCGCACACCAGCGGGAGGCCTTGGTGGCGACTCCCCTAACTTCTCTGTGCCTCCATTTTCTCTTCTGAAAACTGGGCACAATAACATTGCCTATTTCACAGGTTTATGAGAATGAAATGAGTTAACACAGTTATGCTTAGAGGGAGTTCTTGGTACCTAGTACATTCTCAATGCATGATGTCAGAGACTAACGCTATCGGCCTTATTACACTGGCTGGCAGCTGTATTTCTATGTCTTCCCAACCCCTCTGAAACCCCTGGGCCATAGGAAGTCCAGCAACAGCCAAAGCTGGAGTGAGAGGAATTTAAAAGCCAAAGAAATCCTGTGGGTGTTTAGGAAGAAACCTTTGAAAGAGGAGAGGAGTCAGGTGGGTGGAGCAGAAAGAGGGAGAGGTCCCGGTAGCAGTTAGAGCCCGCGGTGCGCGGACGGGAGAGGAAACGCGGATGGTCAGCAAGCAGAAAATGCTCAATCTCATCAATTATCAGAAAAATACTGTGTAGCAATGAAAAGCTAATTTTCATCCATCAGGTTAACAAGCTTTAAACAGTGTAAACATCCATCCAATAGAGGATGTCTGAGTAAACAGGGTGCGTAGGTCATAGCCAGGAATCTATGCCACAGTTAGAATAAGACTGGAAGCTTGGCCGGGCGCGGTGGCTCACGCCTGTAACCCTAGCACTCTGGGAGGCCGAGGCAGGCGGATTGCTCGAGGTCAGGAGTGCAAAACCAGCCTTAGCAAGAGCTGTCTCTACTATAAATAGAAATTAATTGGCCAACTTATATATATAGAAAAAATTAGCCGGCTGAATGCCTGTAGTCGCAGCCACTCGGGAGGCTGAGGCGGGCGGATCGTTTGAGCTGAGGAAGTTTGAGACCAGCCTGAACAAGAGCGAGACTCCATCTCTATCGAAAAAAAAAAGAGAAAGAAATTAGCCGGACAACTAATATATATATATATATATATAAAATTAGCCAGGCATGGTGGCTCACACCTGTAGTCCCAGCTACTCGGGAGGCTGAGGCAGGAGG